CAAGCCATGGAACTGAATGCACTGCCATGGAGAGTCTGTATATTTAATTATCGAGTTGGAGGAGTTGGCGTCAGCATAAACTGAAGCATTCTGCAAAAAGAGCAACTCTCAGAGCTGCCACACACAGAAAGAACAGACTTAGAGCTCTTCAACCATTGTGTGCTGTCTGTGGCCTGCCTGTGTTACTCCCAAGCCAGTTCTATTCCTCCACGGCTTTTATCAGACATTTCCACTGAGGTAAACGTGACTGATTTCCAGTCTCTAAACATACTGAGACTGTATGTTGAGAGACAGTACCAGTCCTTCCAGATAAATAATAAATCGATTTTTGGGGAAAATTCTAATTTGGCATTTTTTCCAACAATATCTCACAAGCACATCCTAGTAAATAGCAATAACTTTACAGGTTATTGTTGCATTGGATCCAATAATCTTGGCATGCATAAAGTGTTAAAAACAGAGAGAACAAAAGAAATATGATAAATATCTTTTTGGGCCTTCTGTATAATGTAGGCCTCAGGAAACAGAGACTTGGCCGTTTCCTTTGCCCAAGCCAACTCTGGCATGTCTCCCTTTCTTTTCTCCCTTCTTTCTCTAAGAAACTTTGTATTAAAAAAAGAAAGAAAAAAAAAAAAAAGAAAATGGAGTGTTGGTGTTTATCCCATGGATGTGTTGTGTGCATGGAAGAGGTTTTTCCAAATTGTGTTTTATGGAGCCAGCCTGAAACACAAACTGCATTCAAAGCCCTTGTCTTCTTTAACCTCTGAATTTATCCATCCAATAAAACTTAATCTCATCTAATATATTACACATAAACACATGACTGAGAGGCTACTTTCTTGGAAGAGAAAAAACTTAATTAGACCATTGTCTAGAAACCCAATATGACTTTGATGTTTATTAGTTTGAAGAAATGTCATTTCTGAAAAGCTGACAAATTTCATTGCAAATAAATAAATAAACAAATTAGTAAAATTTACCAGAAGAGTAGAATAATTCATGATGGTCTGTGTGACATTAAAAATGTTCATTCAGTTCTTCGAAATAGATTTCTACCTAACAAATCAATATAAATGAACGGAAAATTGTCTTCAGGGTTATCTCTCTTTATGAAAAAGTGTAAGATAGCACTAACTTCTTTTCAAGGTGCATAGTGACTGTATAAATGGTCCTTTATTTTTCCTTTCCAGACTAGTTTAACTTAGAGTCAGGTAAAAAGAGGGTTAAAAATAAAGATGCTAAAAGCATTGCAAAAATGCTGATGATATCACACAAGAGATCATTTTAGTTTTCGCTTACCACATACATAGTCCAACTAAAACATCTGCCTGTCGCCCCATAAACGTCCCTATACTTCTCTTCCCTTATGATAAAAAAAATGGAGCTTTAAGAGACTTTTAATAGGTAGCAGCTGTTTGACTGCTCAGTACCTCATCTGAAGTGTAGTATGTTATTCACATGAAAAAAAAAGACAAACTATCGTTTAGTTTTCTTAAAGTACACCAACGTTTTATATAAAGACATTTGAATGATTTGAATATGAGCAAAGACACAGGAGCTCCTTAAATACATCTGGAAATCAGTATATTGTTACCAGAAGGCAATGATAGTATTATTCAATCCTCTTTAATATTAGTGTGAACGACTACCATTGTGAATGAGTATAATGCCAGATAAAAGGGGCACTTCATGAGAACTTAGATTCATTTCATTCTTCTGAGATGAGCTCTACTTCAGGGTAAGATGAATCATAATAGTTTTTCTTGCAAGGTTGAAATTGAATGCATAATCCATTTTTTAAAAATATGCTTTAAAAAATAATGTTAGGATAGGGAAGCAGCTGCTTTAGAAAAATTAAAATGAAGAACTTACACTATAAGAATACTTCAAAACAAAAGGTGACCCCCAGGATCATAACATGTTGAGTGGGGCTGCTTTTATTATTATGTATTTATTTCACATTTAATCTCAATCTCTCTCTCTCTCTCTCTCTCTCTCTCTCTCTCTCTCTCTGTCTCTCTGTCTCTCTGTCTCTCTCTCATGCGCCCACGATGGGGTCTCACTCTGTCACCCAGGCTGGAATGCAGAGGTATGATCATAGCTTACTGCAGCCTCGACCTCCTGGGCTTCTCTTGCCTCAACCTTCTGAGCAACTGAAATTACAGATATGCACCATCACACTCAGCTAATTTTTAACATTTTAAAGAGACAAGGTTTTACTATGTTACCCAGGCTGTTCCCCCAACTCCTGGCCTCAAGTAATCCTCCTGCCTCTGCCTCCCAAAGTGCAGGGATAACAGTCATGAGCCACTGCACCCTGCCATGCTTTCAAAATAATATGCTTCAAGACTATGTTAAAGCATAATATTAAAGCTATAATGTATTGGACTTACTTTGATAATTCCCACACTGAGAATTAAAGTTGTTTCCTCTGTTCCCTTGCTTTTCCTTTAAAAGGAAACTTACTGTGGCAGCCATAATATCAATGTGTAATACTTCAAGACATGGCAAAGCTTATGCTCACAGAATCTAACACGTTTCAATTAGAAAGGAGTCAGCTGAAGAGTGATAGGGACAGATGACCTATGTGCTCACTGTTCTGTTCCCACCCTGTTTGCTCTCACCTCTCCTCCATCTCCTTTCTTTCTCACCTCCCCTGAGACAAAGATATGAATTACAGCCCCTGCTTCATCCCTCATCTTTCTTCTGTACCCCCAGGCCTATAGACCTAGAGGGCGACTTGAAGACCATCTTCGGGACATTTTAGAGGACTATCAAAGGACTTAGCCTTCTCTCTTTCTCTCAGAAACACACATTTTTAACCACTGTACAAAAAAATATGTTAACAACTAAATTCTGTATAACTTTCATCATGGATAACAGGATAAATCTAAACCTTAATATGTGTTGCTGGCTGTGGAGAGGAAGCAATAGAATGAGACTCAGGAGCTGACACAAAGTCCTTATAATTCTCCACATGGAAGGAAATGCCTTGTGTGGGGGTTTTGGGGGTTAGGGTATCCTCTACCTCTTGATAGAAAAAATAGGGTTCTCTCTCTCTTCCTTTCTTCCTCCCTTTCATTCTTACTTTGTTAAACTGTTAAATTTTGCCAGACATGTACTTCTGCTACCAAAATACAATGGAGTATGATCTTTCCTAGAGATTATTCAACATCATATATTTTCTGTTTCTATAATAGCTATAGAATTTTACAGGTTGTCAATATAATCCCCAGATTACTCCTGTGAGTAAATTTCAATTTGCTTACTGCTTACTTTTATTAAAATGTATATGAAATAGATAAAGGTTTATTGTATGTCCACAGTATTCAGGGGAAATATGTGGCTGTGTGCTGAGTTCTTCTCTTGAGCCAGATAAAATTGTATTGAGGAGGCAAGACTTACACACAGAACATAATTAAAGACTAATAAAGAGGAGTGCATAATAAAATGCTAAATTGTATACAATTAGAGGCTAACATGCTTGTAAAGATAAACTGGTTGAGAAGAATGGGAGAAATCAATATTTCTATATTTACTCAAGCTTCTGGTTTTTCCCCAATTAATTTTAAACACTGTTGCTAGACTAGCCTGTTGGAAATCCCTGTCCACAATTCTTCATGGTTTCCCTTGTCCATAGTCATAATTTTCATATTGGGATGATATATGGGCCTCTTTTAATGAAAAGTTTCTCATAGTCAGAAAACCTGAGACTATGTCTCCAGACCCACAGGATCTAAGAATCCTAGTTTAAGAAACACTGACTTAAGAACTTTATTATTATTTATTTAAATTATCTTTCACTTGAAAGGTATTGAAAAATAGGAGTTTTATCTTTATAATCAGAATAAATCCCCAGCTATTTTGTCACTCACTCAAGATTTCAGTGAAGTTTCTTTCTCTTTCTGTGTTACACACCATTGTGGAAGTCAGAACAACTGTTTGCTGATCTTGACACAAGTGTTCGGCTTTCCTACCATCACAGCTATGTACACACTCTGCCTTCAACCTGGATTACTCTTTCCTTCTCTTTTTCCATCTTTCTCTTCAGCTTCTCTTTGCCAGAAATGAGGTCAACAACTTCTTCGTGTATCTCTATCCCAGTCTCTGGAGACCTCATCTTCTTCTGACTCCCCAGAGCAGCTTATCTGTGCCTCTTACACAAGGCAAAACATCCTACCATAGATCATGCTTGTCAAAAACTCCTATTTTTCAATACCTTTCAAGTGAAAGATAATTTAAATAAATAATAATAATCAAGTTCTTAAGTCAGTGTTTCTTAAACTAGGATTCTTAGATCCTGTGGGTCTGAAGACATAGTCTCAGGTTTTCTGACTATGAGAAACTTTTCATTAAAAGAGGCCCATATATTGTCCCAGTATGAAAATTATGACTGTGGACAAGGGAAACCATGGCTTTTCACTTCTGAACTGCAAGCAGCTTGAGGCTACAGTCTGTAGCTGATATATCTTCTACAAGCAGCTCGCACAGTATCTTACACATCAAAGGTGCCAAGTAAAAGGTAAAGACAGTTCCACTGACTGATGAATAGAGTGAGGCTTAAGAAAAACCTGGAAAGATTGATTGAATGTAGAAAGTAATAGATAGAATGAGGAGGGGAATTTTTGATAAGGACTTAGCAAACTTCTCACCCTACACCTGAACTAAGGATTAAGCAAATCAGGAGAAAAGAAATAGGTACTTCACATTATTAGTGAAATTTGAGTTGTTTCCTAGGAGGAAATCTGTGCAATTAAAGAGAAACCATTCTAAATACCGGTTTGTCAATGGAAATTTATCAAATACTTTAAAAAGCAAATAACCTTCATAGTCCACCATGATTCTTGTCCTTTGGGTAGCAATGAAAGAAAATGTGTTCAGAGTCCACACTATTCCTCATCATCATTTTCTCATTTAGACCCATGTCACAAAGCATAAGTGCTCTAACTAGAATATTGCTATTAGAGGCAAATAACTCCTAAATGAAATGATGTTATTACCTTTCAGAATCTTCAGACTGACCAGTGAACAGTACCAGTTTCTCATCATGTTTCTCATTTTTGTTTATGAGCCGTCCACATGGAAACTAAAAGAAAAGATATAGAAATGACATGAGGCTCAAGGGAAGTTAACTATGTCAGTCACTGAAGGAGAAAACCACCTGTTGAATATATTTTTCACCAAAAGTCATGTTATTATTCTCATGTCTTGTTTTTCAAGCCTGCCGGAGAAGAAGACAGACCACAAGTTTGCCTTCTGCCTAGTTTCAATCAAAGGTAAAACACTGGGTGTAAACATAGGCTCGAGTCCGTTAAGGGAGATTCTTGTGACAGGAAGAAGTTGTCCAGGAACGAGCAAAACAAAGCTAGACATTCCAACATACAAAGCATAAACTGGTAAAGTTGTCAGGCTGACATGTTTGGAGTTCAATTAAGCCCAGTCCAGGAATGAGTTCCCCAGGAGTGCCTACTGACCCCATGACACCACAGGCTGGGCTGTTCATGCCGACTTTATCTCCAATGGAAGACAAGGATTATTTCTATGATTTTCAGAGAAATAAGGGACCTGGTAATGTGACAATTAAAAGAGAAGGAAGAAAAACTGCTGTATTTAAGACACAGAATTTTTTATTTCCCTTTATTTTCTATTTAATGTTAGTTGCAACTTAAGCATCAAACTGTTGACAAACATTACACAAACAGCAAAGTACCTCATGGGACTTACAGTAGAATTCTGAGACTAAAGAGTTTGAAGATTTGTGTATGTCTTAAAAGTCAATTCCTGTAGGCAATTAACACATTTTAAATGCATCTGGAAACCATTAATTGCTGTGATCCTGTTAGAAAATGAGGGAGTTAGGTCTATGGGAAACATGAAGCCAACTTGTCTGGTGTCATATGTTTCTGTTTAGTTGTAACAACAACCAAAAAAAAAAGTTTGTTAAAATGCCCAGGAAGGATTCATTTCAGCTATTGGCAAGGTATTTGTACATAGTGTGGGAGGGTGGCTTGTTTTGTTTTCAGCTTATGACAGCTGTTTAAAAGTCATCTGTTGCCACCATGGTAGACAGTTATTAGATGAAAGCAAATGTCTTTCAAGACTGCTGTAGGAATTGGACCACCAACTAGTCCAGCTATCTTTTAACTACACAAAATTGCAAAACCTCCTAGCTTACTTATGTGGCGTTTTGGAGATATTACACAATTTTGCAAATGCATTGAAGACAAGTCACATGCTGCCTGATAAAGTGACTCACAATAAGTGTCTATTTCTGAAAGATGAGGTTATAAAAATTGAATTAATACATAAAAGTAGATTTGTAGTAAAGTTTTAAAATGTCCTAAATTGCTTCATTATTTTAAAAATTACTTTTAAAAATAATGCTAATTTCCTAGCATATCTTGAGTTATACATGAAGTCTTGGAGTATCCAGGAATAAAAATTTGAGACTAGAGAACACTCTAAGAATTATCACACCATCATTTTACATAAAAGAAACAGAAGTCAAACGAAGACAAATGACTTGACTAATTAATGCTTGATCAAGGATTAGACACCAAACCATTTGACTCCTAGTTTATGACTTTCAATTGTTGTGCCATAATGAAAAATTATACAGATGAAATTTTAAGTTTGAAATGAGAGCTGTTTTAATACTAGTACAATTTTAAAGTACTATACAAATATTTATATTACAAATATAACCTTATAAAAATATATTTCTTAGGCACTGATATTATATTATGTGAACCCTGGTGGTCAATACCCCAAATGGCATGTGGAAAGGGAAATCTCCAGATTTAAAATTTTATAATTTAAGATTCACAAATAATACCTCTGAGGCACTGGAACAGACAAGTGTTGTCTCAAAAGTATTAATTATTTTACTGAACATTGCATTTCCTTTCTAAATCTCCTTTTTCTAAACTGGAATTTTACAATTGTTATTACTCAGTCTTGGAAGTGAAAAAACATCAACTAGTGATAATCAGAAAAGTCAATATCCCAATCATAATGATTATTTTCAGTAGTTTATTTTTCCATTTTACCAGAATTCTTTTCATTTTTACAAATAAAGATATTTTTCTAACTGAACAGTAACAAAGGAGACAACTAGAAAAGGACACTGCAGTTAAAGGGTTTCTCTTTCAAGGGGCAGTAAATAAATAAAATCAAGCCAGTCTGAGGACATCAAGACTTCTCAATACCAATGCCTCATTTCTAAAAAATCTTAGAGAAAATTGACAACTTCAGAAGTCTCATAAGATTTAGCAAACATTCATATGCCTCTCTGAACTTTATCTTCACTACTTATGAGTCAGGGTGACATTATACCATATGATAAGGAATTCTGCTAAAGGTCTCACTCCTATAATCTTTCATTGAGCAAAAAAGCACAGAATCAATCTAATCGGGGAAGTATGCACTTCCTGAATTTTTATTGACTGGTATGGAGACATGCAAACGTCAGTAGCAAAACACCTGATACTACAAACCAGGCAACACTGGGTCTAAACTCCCAGTTTCAATGGCACATTGCAGTTTTTTTTTTTTTTTTAATTTTTAATATAAAGATGTGGGGTACAATTCAGGGTTAGGTAAATAAACATTGATCATGCAGGTACCCTTGTTGATGAGGTATGCCCCTCCCTCCCTTAGCAGTTTTCCTCAACTGCCAGTCCCAGGCCCCTCTCCTGACAGTTTCCCACTACTGCCAATTGCTTTCTTATAGCATTATAATTGTTCAAGGTCCTCTTATGAGTGAGAACATATGGAACTCTGTTCTTTGTTTCTGTGGTAAATCACTGAGTATGATTGACTCCAAATTCATCCAGGTTGTTGCAAACAACCTTCTTTATTTGTCCTTCTTTATGGCTGCATAATATTCCGTTGTGTATTGCAGTTACCTTTGCTTGTGGTTCACTAATTTCTTGTATAATGTAATTAATTACATTAATTAGTAAACATTTTAAATACTTGAAACAAATCGTAATGAAACAACCAAGTTAGACATAGAACACAGTGGACATTCCTAAAAACAAATTTTATCTGAATACTACACAGTGGAAAGATAGGGTAGCTGGCCCCTCTTTAACTTGCACCTATTCAAGGTAAATTTCTCAGATACTTCACCCCGAAGTATTTAAAACATAACTAGCCAGGTTTCTAGTACTTGATTATGGTGCACAGTGTCTGCCTGTGATATCAGTTTGTTGGCTTTTAGATAAAAGGCCACAGGTCTTCCCTTTAGCTCACATCTGTGACATTTATCTTCCACCCTGGAGGGTCATCTAAGAAGCCATTATTTCACCCATATGCATTCACGTTTGTCATCCATGGGATGCAGAAACTTTGTATAAGATCATTGTTAGCAAGAGGCATGATCATAATGCATCTATTCCATCACAACAAGTCTGCTATGAATTAAATACTGAGATCCCTTTTCTGAAACTTCTAGAAGCTATGCACATTCTTTTGAAAATTTTCGAAAAAAGCTAAGTTATTAGGATAAAGTTTGGTAATTGAGGTAAAGGAGATCGAGTCATGTAATATCAGTGGGATTAAAAGTGGGGTGAAAAATAATAGAGCTGGCTTCCTTCCCTTGTTTGCCAGAGGTCTTTTAAAATCCCTTTCTTTGCATCTGCAGAAGCAGAGCAGCACTGTGATGAGGAATGGGCTCAGAGGCAAGACTGTTCAAGCTCAATCCTCGTTCCTCCTCAAGTGACTCAACTGGGGAGAATACAACATCTCAGTGGCTGTTTCCTCTTCCATGAGATGGGGATAATAATAGTACCTGCCTCACAGGGCTGCTCTGAGGATTAGATTTATACAATCTAATCCTCAGAGCAGCCCTGTGAATATACTCTGTTAGTGGGTGTCCATTTTAATGGAATCTTAAAAGGGAGGAGGTGAATAACTAATGTGTTCACCATCTTGACTCCTGGTCACATTGGGAGAACTTGGTAAATGGGAGTTGGTATAGACTATTTCTAAGGTCTCTTTGACTCTAAAATTCTATGCCTAAGATTTCAAATAAAGGTATAGGTGCTTGCCTTCACAGAATTCATCATTCTGTTGAGAAAATAAAATGACAAAACTTAGAGGCCAAAAACCAGGCATTTTATATTTTCACATCCCTAGGGCCCAGCATGATACCTAGTCCATGGTGAGGACCTAGTACTTTAAAAATAAAAGAATGAAGGAATGACACTTAATGGTACAAGACAGAGGATGATAAAATGAAAAATAAATGACATCAACAATTGCGCTTGAGATAATGGAACTTACTATGGCCAACAGTGGTTGCTCAGATACTTTTAATGAATTATTTACATTATCTTATTTTTGCTTTTTTTTTTTAACATCATAGAAATTTGAAATCAAAAGGGTTTGAAATCTAACTTAAAGTTGTTTCGCAATTTTGTTTTCCTGGGGAAGACAAGTATAAATCACATACAGTTTTTCTCCTTCCTCCCGCCTTCCCTCCTAACCCTCCTTTCTTTCCTTCCTTCTTTCCCTCCTTCTCTCCCTTCCTCCCTCCCTCTCTCTCTCCCTCTTTCTCTCCCTTCCTTGATGGGGTCTCATTATATCACCCAAGCTGGAGTGCAGTGGCTATTCAGAGGCACCATTATAGCTCACTACAGCTCTGAACTCCTGGGCTCAAGTGATTTTGCCACCTCAGCCTCCTGAGTACCTTAGACTAGAGGCACATGTCACCACATCCAACTGCAGCCATATACAATTTCTGCGACCCCAAATATTACAATTAAAGACTACAGAATTAACAGTACCCAACTGACTGATAGCATGCTCTTAAGTTAAAAGCAAATATATTTCTTTGTTTCCATCATTTTGATTACTTTCTTCTTTCTCTTCCTCTCCTCCTCTTCTTCCTCTTTTTTGGGGGGCATTCCTATACTGCTGAAAAAGCAGCTGTTGCTTTCTGTTTGACTTAACCAAAGGATGTCCTGGATTCTTGGATGGATTTCAGTAAACCAGTGAAGATCACGAACTGCTTGATTGTTTAAGCAGAAATTTACACAATCCACAGTTCCAAAATAACTCAACTTTAGAGGATATACTTACTTTTGGAAGCAAATCAAGTTTTACAAGCTTTTCGATATTTGTGGTGACAGCTCTTAATACACTTGGCTTTCTAAAGTCAGGTTCAAAAGCTTGGGTGTAAGTATTATCAGT